AAGAGAGAAAGAAACATTGATGTGAAAAAGACACATGATTGGTTGCCTCCCACGTGACCCTAACTGGGGCTGGGGATGGAACATGCAACCCCAGGCAGGTGCCCTTGACCAGGATCAAACCTGTGACCTTACATTCCGTAGACCAATGCTCTAACTGCTGAACCAAACCAGGTAGGGCTCAACCCAAACTTTTATGTATACTATAAGGTTACTGGAAAGTGACCAGGGTTCCAGCAAGTTCGGCTCTAGAGCTTATACTGTTAACTACTCTACTTGTTATTAGATATGTGACTTGGGTTAACCTCCCTGGGACTCAGTTTTCTTGCCTGTAAATTTGGAATAAAAATAGAATAGTACCTTCCTGATGGAGTCCCTACAAAGCAATTAGTGTCTGGGTCCAGTAGCATCAATAAATGTCAAGTATGGCCTGGCTGGTAGTTGAGCATCAACCTATGCACCAAGAGTTTGTCAGTTCAATTCCCAGTCAGGGCACATGCCCAGGTTGTAGGCTCAATCCCCAGTGGGGGACATGCGAGAGGTGGCCAATCAATGTTCTCACTCATCAATGTTTCTATCTCTCTCTCCCTCTCCCTTCTTCTCTCTAAAATCAATAAAGAAAAAATAAATAAATAAATGTCAAGAATGGTTATTGTCGTTATTGTAGAATTCCATCTGCATACATTGAGTCTTGGTAACATCCTACAGATGATTGTGACTCAGAAAGTAGGACAGACTCTCAGATCTCAAAGCCACCAGGAAAGACACCAACAGCCTTAAGAATCTGCATCCTTGAGAACCACTATCTTAAAGGTCATTTAGCAGCACAGAACAGAACCCTCCCCAGAGGAAAATCATAGGACACTGAAGTTTCTCACAGCCTCTGAAGGGACATACTACATGAACTGGGTTGAATACTGTCCTCCCAAGATTCATGTCCTCCATGGAATCTCAAATTATGACCATGTTTGGAAATAAGGGGGGGGGGGATCCTTCTAGATGCGATTAAATTAAAATGAGGTCATACTGGCGTAGTGTGGGCCCTACATCATATATGACTTGTCCTTCCCCCCCTTTTTTATTTTTTTTATTTTTTATCCTCACCCGAGGACATTTTTTCCATTTTTTGTTCAGATAGAGTGGGGGGGGGGGGACAGAGAAACATCGAGTGGTTGCCACCCGCACGACCCAACCAGGGCCAGGGACAAACTGCAACCTAGGTACATGCCCTTAGTGGGAACTGAACCCAGGTCTTTCTGGACCACAGGCTGACACTCTCTCTAACCGCTGAGCCAAACCGGCAGGGCTCCCGCCCACTTTTTAAACTTATCTTTATTGTGAATGTATTACAGATGTCCCTCCTTTTCCCCCCTTGATCCCCTCCTCCCCACTCCCACCCCACTTCTGTCTTCCCCACACTATTGTCTGTGTCTATTGGTTATGCATATATGCATATAAATTCTTTAGTTTCTCTCTTCCTGCCCCACCTCCCACTTTCCTTTGAGGTTCCTCAGTCTAACAACAAATTTGTACTGCTTAATTCCTTCATCTTTTTCACCCATCCCCTCTCACATCTGGGAACCAACAAAAAGTTCTGTTATCTATGAGTCTGTTTTTGTTCTGCTTCTTCATCTTTGTTTGTAGATTTAATTGCTGATAGATATGTATTTATTGCCATTTTGTTGTTCATATTTTTTATCTTCTTTTTCTTCAAAAGACCCTTCAACATTTCATATAATACTGATTTGGTTGTGATGGACTCCTTTAGCTTTTTCTTGTCTGGAAAACTCCTTATACGGCCATCAATTCTAAATGATAGCTTTGCAGGATAGCTTAATCTTGGTTGCAGGTCCTTGCTTTTCATCACTTTGACTATTTCTTGCCACTCCCTCTGGCCCGCAAAGTTTCTTCTGAGAAATTGGCTGACAGTCTTATGGGAGCTCCCTTGTACATAACTAACTGCTTTTCTCTTGCTGCTTTTAAGAGTCTGTTTTTGTCTTTAACCTTTTGCATTTTGATGATGATGTGTCTTAGTGTCGACCTCTTTGGGTTCATCTTGTTTAGGACTCTCTGTGCTTCCTGGACTTGTATGTCTGTTTCCTTCTCCAAGTTAGGAAAGTTTTATGTTATTATTTTTTTAAATAGGTTTTCAATTTCTTGCACTCCTTCTGGCACTTCCATGATGTAAATGTTGGTACACTTGAAGTTGTCCCACAGGCTTCTTATACTATCCTCATTTTTTTTTTTTATTCTTTTTTCTGTTCTGATTGGGTGTTTTTAGCTTCCTTATATTCCAAATTGATGGTTTTCTTCTTGGCTTCACCTACTCTATTATTGAATCCCTGTAAATTATTCTTTATTTCAGTTAGTGCATCCTTCATTTCTGACTGGTCCTTCATATTTTTTATCTTCTTTTTCTTCAAAAGACCCTTCAACATTTCATATAATACTGATTTGGTTGTGATGAACTCCTTTAGCATTTTCTTGTCTGGGAAACTCCTTATATGGCCCTGCTGGACCTTAATTTTGGACTTCTGGCCTCTAGAACCAGGGAATAATACATGTCTGTTGTTTTAAGCCACCCAGTTAGTGGCACTTTATTAGGGAAGCCCTAAGAAAATACAGGGTGAGGCTAAAGTAAGTATACAGTTGTTCATATGGAAATAAATAAATAATAGTACAAGAATAAACTCTGTTTTTTATACTCACAACTGTAAACCTACTTTTGCCCTCCCCTGTAATAGGGTTTTCCAATAGGCATAGGGCAACCTACGAAGAGGCAAGTAGGAAACTTAGGTCCCTCCTCTCTCTCTAGGGTCTGTGTTCTCATTTGCAAATTCCTGTGCATCTTCTTGTCCTCTCTCTGCACAGGGCCCTTTTCATGCTTCTCTCTCCTATAGAGGTTCGAGTTCTTGACTAATACTGTCTGTGAGGCCAGGCCCGCCCACTCTGTGGAGATTGGCCCAGCTTGAGTCATGTGTACACCCAAGCAGCTGTGCCAAGGGAAAGCATCACCTAGTGTCAAGGGTGTTTAATAGAAAATAGCCAGTGTAGCCAGACACTGACCAATCAGATTTGACATTGGCTCCTGGATCAAGAATTCTGGGGACTACCCTTCCCCAACAAATTCTAGAGATGCACCAAGGGTTAAGGCTTTGGATACTTGGTCACAAGGGCCATCCTAGGGTGTCCAGAGGAAGTATCTAGGAATGGGGACTGGGAGTAACAGGTACTTGCCGAGCAGTATGGAACTGTTTTAATAATTTAATGACTAGTATGGCTATACTCGTGTGTGTTAGCTCAATGTCAGTTCTGCCCACTCAGGAGAAACAAACTCCTTGAGATGGGTCAGACAAATGCAATTCACCTCCATGTCTACATCTCTGCTGTCCATCTCACACCCTCCTGTCTGGCTACTGCAGGCCAAACTCTCCCACCTCTGCCTTGCTCACTCCATCTCTCGTCTTAAGGCCCATCAAAGTCTGCTCTGTGAAGACTTCTCTGTTCACCCAGCCCCTTTTCTCCTACATCTGTAAGGAGAGCCAGGGCCCAGGTGATTTTGTGTGTGGAATTTCTGCATGTCAACAAAAATTATGGGGTAGGGGAAACTGGCCAGGTCTGTAGAGAGGGACAGGGTACTGGTACATGTTTGACAAGCAGCTCTCAGAGTGGGGAATTAAGTCCTGTGTTTATTATAACTTTTATAGGCATAAATAATTGTAGCACACCAGTTAGGAATAGAGAATATTCTTCATTGCAAATTCTATCTAGTCAGTTGATTCCTGCAGAATGCCTTAATTTTTCCCACTCTTGTATACCCACAGTCAACCCTGTGTGCAAGTGACAACCAAGAAAATGTAGATTGTATTTTCCTCTAAAGACTAAAATAAAATGGACCAAAGATGTATGTCCACACTTCATTTGCTTGTGCATGACATGAGCAACTTCTTTCTAAGTCAGATAATGCTTTGAAAATACTAGACAAAGACTTCCTTGATTTTTTGTATGATATTCACAATGTAACAGGTAGGGACAAGACACACTTTTAAGTCTAGTCCACTTGTTAAAATTAGTTCCTCCATCACTTTAAGTCTAAATGATCAACAGACAATAACTCAAGCACTGTCTTATAACATTTGCTGATTCCTGTGGCTGGTTTTAAGTGTGATATCACTAAACAGAGCTAGCAAGCAATTTCCTGCAGAACCACACACTTACAATAGAGGGAAATAACCTCACGAGCATACATAATAGTAAAATGGAAATAATAAAATCTTTAAAGCATATGGTAGTCATGAGTCTCAAATAACACTGTCTGGCATACAGTAAATGCGCAATACATAGTCATTATTAAATTTATAAACATTTTATCATCCAGTACCATGCACCACCTCACACTGTTCCCTGGCCCCGTCACATTGGGTCACACACCGTCATAGTCACAGTCACAGTATCAAACCAACCTATTAGATAGATGTCAGCTTAGCAAAAGCTGGGGTTTTGGTCTGTCTTGTTCATGACAGGACAGACCAAAACCCATAAAAGTGCCTGACACATAGTAAAGGCTCAAAATACAAGTTGCATGAATGAATGAAACTCAACAACAAAGAATTCTGCAAACTCCCAAAAGCTAACCTACAAATTCCACAGGGGGGCTAGAAATACATATTTCTCACAAATTAACATAAGTAAGGATTTGTTTTGGTCTGTTTTGCTTGCTGATGTTTCTCTAGCCCTGCACAGCATGTAGTAATTGTTCAATAAATATAGGTTGAACAGATAAATATAAAGTCCACTGTCTGAGCTCAGGCTCATAATAAATACCAAGAGTTCAACTTGGGGCAGGAGTGATAGAGGGACTGAGAGAGACCCTGAGGAGGAGGTCAGCAGCCAGAACCCTTGTCCAGCCTGGTGAGGTAGAGAAGCCAGGACCCATCAGCATAGGCCCCAAGGAAGCAAGGCAGGATTCAGTCTTCCTGCAGGGGGTGGCAACCCCACTTGCCTCATGAAGGCTGTTGGGAGGGGAGTCCAGCGGGGACTTTGCTGGACACTCGGTAGAGGCCCAAGATCGTAGCGCCTTGCACAAGCTGCCAGGCAGGACGCACCTCGGCCATAGCCCTGAGGTGGACACCCAGGCGCTGGCCAGCACCCAGATGCAGCAGGCCACCCTTGTAACCAGCTGCTGAGTCCCGGGCTTCAGAAGATGGAGACGGCAGGTCCAGGGTCAGGGCCAGAGCTGCAGCCCCTGTACCCAGTGGCTGCAGGTGCAGGGCAATGGAGACTGAGCCAGAGCCACTTCTGGCCACCACACGTTGCAGTTTCACGTTCAAGTAGACATAGTAGATGCCAGCCTCAGACACCACCAGCTCCTGTGTGTGCTCATCATAGGTCAGGCCAGGTGCCAGGAACACATCTTTCAAGCCAGGGTCACTGTACCAGTGCAGGAGCCCTTCTGTCAGCAGTGCTGCTGGAGGAGAAAGGGAGAAGGGGTGATGCTAAGCAAGGATGTGGGCAAGGGCACAACCCTGGGGAGGGGGTGATAGGGTTCGCAGAGTGAGGTGGGGCTGGGAAAATGGAAGGAGGAAGGGACAGAAGGGAGGGGGAAGGCTGTGAGGAAGAGATTGAGGCGGAGGGACTCTGAGAGGGCTGGGGGTGGAAGGTGAGGGATTTCCAGGAACAGACAAGGGCAGGAGAAGGAGATGCAATGCAAAAGGGGATGGGGGTAGAGCAAGGGAATCTTGGAGATGGAAGGAAGGGGTTTAGAGAGAGAGGTGAATGGAAAGGGGAAATGGGATAGAATAAAGGAGGGGACTCAGAGGAGGAGGGGGAAGGGAGAGTGGGTGCGGATCTCAGGAAGGGTGAAGAGAAGAGAAGAGATGAGGAAGAGAGTCTAAAGAGGAGAGTCTAAAAGGGAGAGGGGAGGAGGGTCTATGGAAGGAAAGAGGGAAAGCAAGCGGGAAGGACAGTGTGAACCTCCCAGAGCCCGGAGTGAGAGACCAGGCCAGGATGGGATTTGGGGATCCAGCCCCAGATCTGAGAGGGTGGGTTTTAGGTGGGCAAATGGAGGTCAGCTGAGGAGCAGAGGGAACCCAGAGGTCAGAAAGAGAGACAGGTCAGGTTCAAAGAGATGAGAAGACAGCTTTCAGAGAGGGAAGGGGTAGAGGGTCAGATTCAGTTAGAAGGAGGCCTCCAGCTCCCAGGACACTCTTACTTAGTGTCCCCCTCCCCATGCGGACAGGGATGGCACAGGACACTCACCATCTCGGGCCACCAGCTGCGCGTACGTGCCCACGCCCTGAGGAGGAAAGGCAGAAAGTGGATGGAGGGGCCACCAACCGCTTCCGCAGTCCTTGAAAAGGGGCCCCCACCCCGCGTCTGCGCAAACCTTGGACGTTTGCTCTCTTTTCCCCCTGCTCCAAAAGAACACACCAACACACACGCACACCTGAAGTTGGGGGCTCAACCTGTCCCAACCGGTGGGACCCGCCAGGATTCAAGACAGAAAAGAAGTGGGATCCCTGCCAGTGGTCTTAGATCAGGGACGTCTTGAGAGGAAAAGGGGGACACCCAGAGGTCCGGGAGAAAAACTAGGTTCTCCGGGAGTTGGAAAAAAATGTGTGAATCCCCTCAATAGTCGGACGTGCTCCGCGAAGTCCGCGACGAAGAAAAGTTCCCACCCTGGGGTGCAGGATGCAGATGAGGTCTCACGGGGGTGATGAGATCAAAAGGGGTGCCCTCCGAAGTCCTGGATAAAGACGGGGTGCTCTCAGGGCCCCGAGAGGGACGGACCGTCGGCCTGGGGTACAGAAGAGGGTCGCCCCGGAGTGCAGGATGGAAAAAGGGTCCCAAGTAGGGGTGCATCTCACCTGCGAGGAGTCGGGCAGGCGGGCCCAGGCGTCAGGAAGGAGCTCGGGGACCTCGGGGAGTCTCGAGTTGGGCGCAGGGCTGGGGCAGGGCGAGGCGGAGCCGCAGGGCATCATCCAGGCGCGGACGACCAAGGCGGAGAGGCAGATGACAAGCGGCTGCAACAGCAGCACGAAGACCAGAACCCAAGGCAGCTGGCGACAAGCGTGGCCACGAGGCGCGGGCGGCCGCGGGGCCTCCAGTTCCAGGACGGCGTCCGAGCTGGAGCTCATGGCCAGCGGCAGGCGGCTGCAGCCGGGGTCCCGGGCTCTCCGCTTTATATTGAATCCGGAAGCCGGGCTTTCCGGGGCGGAGACGGCGGGGATCCCAGCGCCCGCCCCCTCTGGCGGAGCTTTCCCTACCTAACTTTCTCTGGATCCCCCATCTCAGGTCTCCTTTCTCTGCCCCACTGTTTCTTCTTCCTCCGGAGTTTTCTCTCTCTCTGCCTCTCTGGGTGCCTCTTTGTAATTATGTATCTCTCCTTTTATCTGTGCCTTTCTCACAGTGTGTCACTGTCTCCCTTGATTGTCCCTAAATTGAGTCTGGGTCTCAGGGGATTTTTCTATCCCTTGTTATTTCTGTGTCTCTCTGTGTCTCTCCCTCTTCCCCCCACCCCACTCCTCCCATTCTCACTTTCTGAGTCTCTGTGTCTCTTTGTCTCTTTTCCTCCTTCTTGTGGCTCCCACCCAGGCTCCCCCAGGGACCCGGTAAATCCAGCACTTCTGCAGAGGGGTCAGAGGACAGCCAGGCCTTCCCTGAAGTAAAACCCCCAGTGGAACCCGGAGTGCCATACTCAGCCCTCCCTGCCCCTCACCTTCCTCAGGACCCCTAGCCCTTCCGTGGCCTACCCCCACCCACCCACCTAGACCGCTTCCTGTCAGGAGCCCCCTCTGGACCCCACAAGCGGAAGGCTGGAGAGTCCAGGTAGAGAAATTCCCCCTGAAGGAAAAGGACACGAGTGAGACAGAGGAAATTCAAATTTCCCTTTCAGTCAGGCGCGGGCGGGAGGAGGAGCAGAGAGCCAGCCAAAACTCCACCCAAAAGAGGAAGCAACCCTGGATTGAGAGATGGGAAGAAAGCCCTGCTCTGCCCAGACCTGCTGGGTGGACACTGGCCAGCTTACTGACCTGCTCCAGGTCTCACTCTCCCTGTGTGAAATGGGAAGGTGGGCCCCGCGATTGGTCTTAGGCCTCTGCCAGCAGGCCAGGAAGTGTGGGGGGGGGGGATTTTGGTACAGAATGCCACCCTGTGCTCGGAGTTCTAGCATTGGCCCTTGCTGGGGAATTACAGAGGGAAAAACATAATGACTTGTATTGATGCACAGGTGCTAAATGCTTCCGTTATATGAACAGTTTATAAAGTGTGACACCCAAACCAACTTGCAGCAACATCATCTATGCAAATTCTAGCACTTCAGTCTATCCACGGGAAAAGCCCAGCAATTGGTGTTTGAATGAACCATCCAAAAGATTCTGACTTTTGCCCAAGTTGGAGAACACACTGCATTGTATCCAGGTTGTTATTCCTTCACACGTGCAGTCCTTCTGACTGGGATGTTCTTTCCCCAGATTGGCAGTCAGCCTCGGTTCCAACCGTCCTCTGGGTAAAGATGATGAATGGAGCACCCACCTCTACTTTCACTCTTCTGAACACACACTGCAGCGACAGTCCAGTGATTGTTTTAACACCCAAAACAAAAGTGCAGGCCAGTACAGTGGAAAGCCAAATATTATTTCCCGCTTGAGATTTTACTACCACTATCCCCCAAAGTTCAGTTATCTGTGACTCCTGATGACTCTGAAGGAGAATGTGATGGGTGGCCGCTAAAATAGAAGAGTTTACAGAAAGTAAACTCCCAAGAGACATCAGCTTTTCTCCTGTTAACAAAATAATAGCCCTGGCCGGTTTGACTCAGTGGACCAGGGAATCACGGGTTCCATTCCAGCCAAGGCCACGTACCTCAGTTGCGATTTGTTCTGACCCCTGTTGGGGTTGTGCAGGTGGCAACCAAGCAATGTGTGTCTCTCTCTCCCTCCCACTCTGTCTGAAGATAAATGTAAAAATATCCTCCTGTGAGGATTTTAAAAAATTATAATAAAATAAAGACCTTTCAAAGCAAGAGGTAACAAGTATTTATTAATTTGAAATAAAAATGAATAACTATTCAGGATGCACCGATTCAGTCTTCCAATTAGGAGACAAAAGCAAGGGGTATTTATGAGAAGGGGAAGGGGAACAATTATATCAATAGACACAAGGCATTTTATTGGTACAGACAGATAACGTAACATAGTGATGTAACCTAAACAATGTTTTTGATTTTCAGTCCACTCCTCATTATATGTGCTTTCTTTACAGTTTTTTGGGGAAGCAAGTTGTCTTAAGCCCAGCCCAAAGGTTATTTTGCCCTGTTTTGACCTTCCAAAGGTTTGAGGCATAAGATGTGCAAAGAAGTTCTGGCATGGCAGCTCCAGCTCCATTTTAAAGTGGATCCACTTTTTTTTTTTTACTTTTTTGACACTTCTCACCAGGGTGAAAAAGCATGTTTTCTTTTTCTTCCTCCAAAGAGTAGAAATGGCAGCATTTCTGGTGGAAGGAACAGCCATAACCGGTAGAACAATCACTCTGAACACAGGAGTATTAAGCAAACCTGTGAACTCCCCACCTCAACCCTTGCTCTCCTCCTTCACATCCCAGGAATTTGACCAATCAGGACGAAGATTTAAAGATACTGAAGCCAAAGGGCCCTCTCCTGGATACCACTGCCCTGCCAAGAAGCCAATCTGTTTATTATTAAGCTCTAACCCACAGCTGGCAACAGCCAAAGATTGCCCAAGCTGACAAAAAGAGGAATTTGGAGGACTCCAAAGGTCACCATCTCAGAAAACCCAAATCAAAGTGCCTCTCCCTCTGCCCTGTCACATCACCCACCACATTTCTTTACCAGCAATTTCTGCCATCTAGAATATTCTTGTTTGCAAAATGAACAAGCAGAACAGACACATTCTCATAGATACAGAGAACATTTTGTTGGTTGCCAGATGGGAGGGGGGTTGGGGGAATGGGTGAAAAGGCGAAAGGATTAAGAAGTACAAATTGGTTGTTAGACTGACAAACTTCAAAGGAAAGGGGGGTGGGGGTGGGAAGAAATAAACCAAAGAACTTATATGCATATATGCATAACCAATGGACACAGACAACAGTGTGGGGAAAGGCAGGAGGGGGTGGTAGCAGGAAGGAAGGGGTTAACAGGGGGAAAAGGAGGAACATCTGTAATACATTCAATAATAAAGATAAGTTTTTAACATTTTTTTTAAGTAGAATATTCTTATTTGTTTACTTGCTTACGATTATTTCCCCAAAAAACAGTGTTATCTCCATCTTCATCTGTCTTGTTTCCACTCTACCTCCAGTGCCTAGACAAGTACAGGCCTCAATAATATTTATTGAATGAGTGAATAAATCAATGAATTATAGCATAGCAATTAACAGCATGGGCTCTAGAAATCAACAAACTACAGTCCGAAAAGTATGAATTTTTTGTTTGATTGTTCTTGGTTTTAAGTAGCTGGGAAAAGTTGAAAGAAGAAGACTATTTTCTGACAGACAAATTATATGAAATTCAAATTTTAGTGTCCATAAATAAATTTTGTTGGCACACGGTCATGCTCCTTCATTTACATATTGTCTTATGGCAGCCTTTGCAATATTACAGCAGAGCTGAATAGTTGTGACAGAGATTGGCCCACAAAGCCCAAAATATTTACTCTCTGGACCATTTTATTTTATTTTATTTTATCTTATTTTGTTGTGTTTTTTTAATCCTTACCTGAGGATATTTTTTTCCATTTATCTTCAGATGAAGTGGGAGACAGAGAGAGAGAAACATCAATGTGAGAGAGGCACATCAACTGGCTGCCTCCTAAGGACCTCGACCGGGGCAGAGGGGCAAACTGCAACTGAGGTACATGCTCTTGACTGGAATCGAACCTGAGACTCTTTGATCCATGGGCCGATGCTCCAACTGCTGAGCCAAACTATCCAGGGCCTCTCTGGACCATTTTAGAAAAATATTTGCCGCCTCGGCTCTCAAATTTCTTGCTGAGGGCAAGCAGCTTCCCCTCTCTGAGCCTCTTTTTAATCTGTTAAATGGGAATAATAGTAGATCTCAAGGGCAGGGGAGAGCTTGCTGTGAGCAGTGACAGGCACTTTTTGAATGCTCTAAAAAGATGAACTGTCATGGTCACTGAATCTTTTCTGCAGCTCTGGTACACTACCATACCAATATGTGGATGAAGAAACTAAGACTCCACAAATTGAAGTCACTTAGCCAAGGAGTCAAAGTGAGTGTTCTGAACTCCTCTCCACACTAAGGGGCTTGGCATAGTTCTGTACACTCCTTCCATGTAGGGAAAACAAAATCTGACAGCCTGCGGAAGGCTCAGGCCACAGCTAGGGAGCACCATGACGTGCAGCTGTGGTTGGGACATCTGAGCCAGGCAACCCCGCCCACCACGGAACTGTCAGCATTACCCTCTTAGCACCTGTGTGCTCAGCCCTCACCCTGAAGTGACTGTTGACCATTTTTGTCATCTCTAGGGGTAAGGACTGAATCCTCATGCTCACAATCATAGGGCTCAAGGGAGGGAGTGGGCAGGAAGCAGTTGAAGGGGGGAGTCCCCCTCTTCCACCTCTGAGGCCCAATGAACAGGCACTGGCTCCAGGAAGTGTGCCTTAATTTTTCCTAGAAAACCTCATCTCCTTTTTTCTGGGTTCCCCATTGCCCCCATCCCCTGTTTGTACTATCCTCCCCTCCCCCCAGTGTCAACTTTACTGGCCTGGATCCTCTGTCTCCCTTAGGGCAGAGGCAAAGCCTAACAGAGAATGTTAGTGATATTTGTTGAGTATGTGTACAAGCAAATGAGCAAAGGACCAAATTGGTGGGCAGGGGGATATGAATTGAGAAGAGGAAAAGGGGGAGGAAAGAACTGAGTGAGAAAACAGATTCAAAGAGGAAAGAGGAACAGAGAGGATTGCATTGTCTACATTAGTCAAGTCTCTTGAGAAGCTGGGTCCTAAATAGGCCAGAAAAACGCAGGCTTAGTACTTGGGGTATTGTGTAAAAGCCGCAAGGCATGGTGGTGCAAAACACTGAAGCTTGTGGAATTGGGTGCATCACAGGCTACTCTGAACTTGTGTGTTTCCAATGTGATGTTGTGTGTTCAAAGATGAG